TGTAGGGAACTGAGGGTTTTCTGGAGATGGGCTCTCTTGCCCTTGCTTAGGAGCTTCACCTGTTGCAGAGATACTACTAGGGAAAGCACAAAGATGCACGTGGGATAAGCTGTCCAGCTCTGATAGAGTAGAGCTACAAGATACCTGGCTATTGGTATGCATAAACAGAGAATTTACATTGTTCATAATGCTGGAAATTTTCAATGTAAAACAAGAAGTTTTACATTGAAAAAAGAGAGCATGTAATGACTGGAGCTGAAGTAGAATGTAGCAGATTGTTTGGTTTATTTCCAAAAGCAGTAGATCTTAGTCTTACTGAAGCCTTTGCTTTATTTTTGCATTTAATAAGGGTGAAAGGAAATGTCCGGTATAAGCTAAATAAATTAACTATGCCTACAGTTTTAAGTTGTCTTTTCTTGTCTCAGGGTAGAGAAACAGTTGCAGAGGTCTTGGAGATTTCTTTGGGTGTAGAACACACATGTACCTAGTTTTCACCTGCTCCTGGATTGCAGTCCCTCTGCAGGGTGTTGAAGTCAATGGATTGCTTTGATTTAGAAAATTGCAGTAATTCCTTACTTGAAGGAATAAAAACCCAAAGCTTCTGGACCAGATGGCGTGATAATATCCCTTTAGGATAGGATGTAAAATAAGCACATTTTCCCTTGTATTTCGTAGTCTTCAGATAACCCTGTTCCTTCCAGTAGGCCTGTTTGCCTGAGTTTGGATCACTTGTGGCTATGTTCAGTCCTCCAAATACCCTCCTGATCACTGCTGGAGGAGGAGTAAGTATGTAAACCTGGCTCTGATTTTTAACATAGGCTGGAAAAGGTTTGGTGCAAATGCATGTAGGGACATACTCACCCCAGCTTTTACGCGGTGCAAGTATCTGTTGGTGCCTCCAGCATTTAGTAGTTACGTTAATTTGGCTGAATTAGGTGTGTTGGAATACTAAGTTAGCAAAAGAAGCTTTTAAATTGATGTATACATCAGTTTTGACCCGGACTGAATTAGCTGAGCAGAAGAAGGTGTCTTGAGTGCTAACAGGTCTGTAACTTAGTAGCTGGGAAGCTGGAGACTAAGGTTCATTTGTAACTCTTGGGACTCTTGCTTCTCTAACTCCAGGTAAATACTCAAAACACTGAACTGTGGGCTCAGTCCCTCTGTGCCATTAATATGAATACAAATTTTAAAAACAATCAATAATACACTCTCTAGAAACGTTGAGATCTTCAGACTAGGTCCTTCACAAACTACGGGGATGGCCTGTATAAAATGTGTAATAAAACTCTGGTTATTTTCTAGGCAAACCAAAGCTGTGAGGGTATATTTAAGTTGGGCTTTCCAGAAGTCTTGGTATCACAGTCCAGAGGGAGCATAAGAAACTTAGATAAAGTACTTGATACAAATAAGATTAAAAAAAAATAAAAAGATGTTAGGATTCCTGAACTCATGAAGAATCAGCTTTGGTATTGAGTTTAGATCAACAGTTTAAGAAAAAAAATTAAAAGCTCCTCAGCAATTATACTGTTTATTTCCAACCCAAACCATTCTATGATTCTATGATAATTTTAAAATCAGTGGTATTTGCAGGTGAACTTAAAAATCTTTTTAATCACTATGCTCTTCAGCATATAGATCTTACAAATTTTGTATTTTGTTGTTAATACAAATAAAGGAAATTGATTATGTTTTAGCCATTGGAAAACAAGGAAGGGACTATGTCAGAATTACAAATTCCTGGTTAAGTTTTTTCCTGCTATTGGTTTGCATTTCTTATGACTAAGCCTCTGGAATGCCAGAACACCCAACAGGCAGCCTGTTCTTCCTGTTTGCTTGTCCTTTCCTTACAACACATCCGACTTATTTCTTCATCATCTGGGGCAGGAGCATTGCTGCTGCTTCTACTGACAGTAACTTACTTGCTTTTTTTATTAATCCCTCTGCATTTTCCCCAGGTGGCAACTTCTCATGTTTAACCAGATGTGCTTCAGAACCTGTGGTGCATCTGGCTTCTTTCCTGGAGTTATGTTAATAGCAATTAGTATCATTAACTTAGCTTTCTCTTAAGACAGCTGGAACACTTTTAGATTTCTTACATATTTTTGAAGGATCAGCAGCTTCTGAGCAGTATTTATTGTGGTTATTTTTGCATACATCTGAGGCTTTGTATCTAGAAAGCTGGGTCAGACCATACTTTGGAAATGTTATAAGAATCACAAGAATGTAGTTAAAATATTTAATGTGGGCATGATCCGAGGGCTGGAGCACCTCTCCTATGAGGACAGGCTGAGAGAGTTGGGGCTGTTCGGCCTGGAAAGAGAAGGCTCCAGGGAGATCTTATAGCGGCTTCCAGTACCTGAAGGGGGCCTACAAGAAAGCTGGGGAGGGACTTTTCATAAGGGCAGTTAATGACAAAACAAGGGGAAATGGGTTTAAGATGAAAGAGGGGAGGTTTAGATTAGATATTAGGAAGAAGTTCTTCACTGTGAGGGTGGTCAGACCCTGGAACAGGTTGCCCAGAGAAGCTGTGGCTGCTCCTCCCTGGAAGTGTTCAAGGCCAGGCTGGATGAGGCTTTGAGCGACCTGGTCTAGTGGAAGGGGTCCCTGCTGATGGCAGGGGGGTTGGAACTGGGTGATCTTTAAGGTCCTTTCCAACCCAAACCATTCTATGATTCCAAGTTCCTCGTATATGCATTATATTTTAACCAGCCTCAAACTTGTGGAGCAATATGTTATATATCACAGAATCACACAGAATGCTAGGAGTTGGAAGAGACCTCTGGAGATCCTCTACTCCAACTCACCTGCCAAAG